CATTGGGTGGGGTGAGAAGAGGCAACATCCCAACCTTGAAAGTTTGTCTATGACAAGCTCAGTTCAGAGAGAGTGTCTGCCCAGACTTGTCTCGTGTTCACAGTGATATGAAATTTGGGAGTATTTCTCAGTCATTGCCATAAACCTCACTTCTTATCTCTAGCCAACATCTCTTCTGCCCACTGGAGAGAGAACAGAATAATGCAGAAGAAAAACCAAGTATTGTTTATCATCCATGTGGTGCTGTGAGTTCACAGAGCTCCTTAACATTATCATCTCATCAAGACTCCACCACAAACCATGTGCAGGCATTTTTACCCCCATTTTAGAGAGGACAAAATAAGGCCCAGAGACGTTTAAGTGACAAACTCCAGACCACAGAACTAAGAAGCAGCTGACTTAGGATTCAAATCTACACCTTCTAATTTCAAATCAAGTGCCTTTTCTAATACATGTTAAGATCAGGTGAAAATGCTCACAAAAAGGGGATGGGAAAGCTATGCAGGAGATAAAGTGATAAGTTGAGAAAGAACCATCTGGCAGGGACAAAAATTACTAGGGCTGCTGTCCTGCTAAGTGCTTGGGCAATGAAGGCCTCATAAGCAGATGAAAGAATAGGAATAGGAAATGTGATGACACAATTATGGAATTTTTTGACAAGGAAAATAATCTGGAAAGCTTTGAAGAAATGCAGGTCCAGGGAGATAACTGACCTTACTGTTGTCTCATACTATTAATGGGAGAGCCAGTCTGAAGGCCATCAAGTTCTTACTGGTATGGCTTTGTTAAAATAGAGTAATAACTTTCTCTTTTTTGGAATATCTTTATTATGGTATAATTTATATACCATAAAATTAACCTTTAATAATGACTCAATAATTCTAAGTAAATTTATACAGTTAGACAACCATCACCGTAATCTACCTTTGGAACATTTCTGTCACCCCTAGAAGAAAACACTAAAGTACTTCAATAGAGATTAGTAAACAGCCAATGCCCTCAAACGGTCCCCCAACCCCCGCAAAGAATCTCCCTTCAATGGCCTCTAAATTCGCACAGAACGCCCCAGGAGCTAATTACAGATACCTGGGCCCACCAAGCAGGGAGCATCCAGGCCCCTGCCCCCAGCACTGAGCAGCTTCTGTTCTGCGTGGTTGGGTCCTCTGCCACATCTGTGCCACACCTGTGGTTATGTAAGTTTAGTACCACCCCGGGGAATGATCAATGCAGGCGCTCAAATCTTCTGGTTCCCAATCCAGAGCTCTCCACATGACACCCTGCTTTTCAGGAACACTGAAAAATAAATGGAAAGAAAAGAAGTGCTATGGAACTGTCTGTGTAAAAGATAGGGGTTGAAGGACAAGAGGTTGAGCTGATCTCCACTGTCACCTCTTCAGTAAAGGTGTTCTGTTCTTGAGGTTTACACACATCTGCCAATGGATGGATCTGTGGGGGTCAGGTAACTCCCTGAAATACAGTATTTCATAAGAATATGTGTCCATGGCTTTCATTTGATTTTTAAAGAGGTCTAGGGCCAAAAAGAAAAAGAGAAAAGAAAGAAAAGGATAACTTGCTAAGAACATGTTTGGGAAGAGGTTTAATGGAGAAGCAAGCAAGTAATGTATTCAAGGATCGAAGACCTGGATAAAATAACTCTTGCTAGAGACAACGTTTTTCTATTTTATTGACAAACCAGTTATGTGTATAAATAAACTGTTTTTGACATGTAAAGTATACAGAATAGGTCACACATATAAACCATTTGTTATTGTGTTAATTTTCTTTGTCCTTTATTAGAGTCGTCACATGAAATGACTAGTTTCAGTTCAAAATTATGAAAAATATACTTTTGTAAATGCTTTTCTTAAAGTATTACTCTAAGTTTTGAATTTGAAGTTTCTACTTTATGAAATCCCATTTATAGCTCAACTGGATTACATTAGCATTTTCAAATTGTTAACTAAAGCCCCCGGCGTGTATACATAAATTACAATAAAGCCAAAATCATTCCTTATTATAAGTGATTTTTTTTACCTCAAAATAGTGTATCAGTCGTATTACATTTTATCTTAAGACTTTTTAACATGGTATTTTAGACACATCATTTAAAATTTTGATTCTATAGTAAGTGCATGGAATTTGAAATCTGGAAGAAACTTTTAATGTTATGCAGCCTGGCTTGCTCATTTGATTGATAATAAACCCAGAGAGATTACGAGCCTTGTCCCAGTTTGCTAATGACAGCTAGGACAAGAATGTAAGTCTTGGATTCCTAGTTTGGTGCCTTTTTCAACACCAAATAAATAAGTTGCTGGCTTCTGAATTGCCTTAATTTCTCTGATGAGATCATCCAGGAGGAGACTAATAACAAAGCACTCTGTGGAGTCACAGACTCAAGCAAGGACTCCTTAAAGCTGCCTCTCCATGCTCCCACAAGCATATTCCCATAGGACTGCTCTTAACTCTCCAGGCTAGTGACTTACTAAAACTCAAGCATTCATAATTCAATATTGCAGCATTTGTCCAGTGGATCCCTTTGTGGGTCCTTTGGGTTACTAGGCTATTTGGTTTCCCATATTTCCTTCCCTTTTCTGCCAGAAAGTCCAGCTGCTTTTGTTCCTGTCACAGGCTCTGCCTCTTCCTTGGAAGGGAAGATTTTGGGTGCACAGACAGCTTGTGTCTCTCCTTTTTTTTTTTCCTTCCAGGGAGGTGAGATAAGAATGTCTTCCTTGAACCCAGTAGTCATTTCTCCTTGCTGTGGATATTAAAAAATGAATATCATTATTAAATCTAACAGAAATTATTTCTTTATATTATCTAATATCCATTTTATGTTTTTGCAACTTAAAAAGATCAGGGTAATGGAAACTTTAAATTTACTGTTGCTGAACTGTTTACAAAGTGATTGTACCAATTCCATTCCCATAGTTTGAAAGCTCCACTTCCCCTCCTACTTTTGGGATTGTCAGACATTTTACCTCGTTGCCTATCTGATGCGCTGTATTTTGTAAAGAAATGTGAACCTAGTCTTCAAACCTTGTATAATAAAGTGTTTCCTATAGATAATTATATGCCCCCACCCCACCTGAAAGTCACTGTTTTAAGTCCCAAGAACATCAAGATCTGTTACATATGAAGAAACTAGTGAGGTAATTATCAACTATTTAATATTTCCTAGGAAAGATACGGTGGGTACTGACTTTTCTCTCCTATGAAGATCCTTTTTAACACATGTAAAACCGAAGGGATCAGATGTTGATTTTACTGTGAGGCATGTTGAGACTCCTATAACTCTTTTTCTTATTTGTCATAGCAGGTTTTGGCTTTGATGATATCATAATGCTTTGTGGAGTCATCTGATGTCACTTATACATTAGGGAGACTCATCTTTTAAACAATATGAACCTTAGATGGTAAAGCATAATCTTCTGGAGCAATTTTCTGAGATCATAGGGATAAAGATCTCCAGGAAAAAAAAAAGAATCTGGAAAGCTTTCCTCTTTCATTAGTATGTATGGGTTTTATTCACAGTTGAAATGTTGACAACACACTGGGCTAACACCTGATGTGCTTCTGGGTTATTCTTAGTTGTCTAGAGCCTTCAAATATTCCTTAAGGACATAGTCATTTTGCACAACAAGGAGAAAACAAGCCCATTTGTGGCAATTAGGGTGGAAATCTGAGAGAAAAAAGAAAGTATATCAATATAGTAACTTCCTCTCTAGTGATAAAGAATAGTATGTTTAACATTATACCATACAAGAATAAATATATTTTAAAGATCTTTTTCATTTTAAACACATTTTACATTAGGGAATTTCCCAAAGAACATAATTTATTTTAAGAGTGAAAAGGATGATATCCTGCATTAGTCTTGTATTTAAATCTCATAGGAATTTCTAAAATATCTCCAAGTTAATAAAATAACTTTCATTCTGGTGAAGTAAAAGCCTTCAACTCAATATATCAGCCACCTTAATTTTTTAGAGATAGAACGCGAGATGGAAGACTTTGGCTTCCATTTTCCCCTTATAAACCAACGATCTTCTCATTTCTGGAATAATTTTTTTAAAAAGTGCGTTCTGGCAGAACTGGTAATAAATTTTGGCAGAACTGGTGCACCCCCAGAAAAAATTCTGTATGCTCAGCTTTCCCTTTTGAAATACATCCCCAGGTAGAATGACCACGTAACTGTCCACCACGAAACAGGATGAAGAAAAGTCTTGCTGTGATAGAAGATACGTATATTATAACGTTACACTGACACATTTTTTTAAAGAAATTCATGTCTAGGGTCAAATGTCTAATCAAATGTCAATACTGTAACAACCGTAACTATTAGTAATACACATGAAGTTTTTAAACTGAAGGAACGCGGTGAAAGGGCGGACATCGCATCAAGACCAAAAAAACCCAAAACAAAACAAAACAACTTTCTTTCCTCTTCTGGGCAAGTTTCAGCTCTACAAAATCTATCCTTGCCTTTACAGCAAAGTGCTGTTCTGCTTTCAACTCTCATCCCGTTGCACCAAAAAAACAAAACAACGACAAAACCTGCCTTTTTCCCCAAATTAGAGATGTGAGAAGCCTTCCAGGTTCGAAAAGACCAAAAAGGAGCCCTTCAGAAAGTTTTACCCGGCCCCAAAGTGGGCTCAGTGGTGGGAGAAGACATCCGAAAGGGAAAATCTGTAAACCATACACCTGTGGCTGGAAAAACGGGGGGGAAAAAACTAAAAACCAAAAACACCGGTCCGGATATCATCAAGATCCAGTGGTATAGTCAGAGAAAAAGCAACCAACAAGGTCAGAACCAGAGACGTATTCCCCAAGTGATCTGGACAGCTGGTGGGCTCGTCGCGAACGCCAGACAGTAGGATGGGACGGAGGATACTGATTACGCCTTTTACCTCACCCGGGCCCGCCCGCCCCGCGGGCCCACCTCGTCCGCCAATCCCCTCGCGCCATTCCCTTCCTTCGGAGGCCCCGCCCCCACGCCCGGGATGCTGGGCCCCTGCGGCTTGACGCGAGCACGGCGGCTCCGCCCCCTGCGTCTCAGGCCTCGCCGGCCTTTGGGGGATGGTTCCATCATGGCGTCAATGCAGGTGAGAGGAGTTTGCAGCATCTGGGCGGGCTAGGGAGCCTCCGAGAGGATGCCAGCGCTCCGTCGGAGGCGGTGTCTGGGACTCCAGGGCACCGGGCGGGGTCGGGAGCGGCCCTGGCGGCCAGTGCTTCCCAGGTCTTCGGGGGCTGGGGAGGAGTGAGAGGCGACGAAAAGAAGGGCGGGGGGGGGGGGGGGGGGCGGCGGGTTCGGTCGGTCGAAGCGGACACCAGCCGGCCGAGAAGTTAGGGCATAAAGAAGGCGAAGAGGAGGAAAGGGCGAAGTTTGGCGTTGGCTCGGCGGCAGTCGTCTCGGAGTCATCTCCCTCTCGCACATCGGCCCCTGCTGGCCTGCCCGCTGCCTCAGGATGCCTTTTCCCACCGCGGTCCCCGGCTGGGCGGAAACAGCTGCTCTCGCCGTCCTCTCCGGGGCAGGGACGGCCCCGACTGGGGCTGAGTGTGAGGGAGCTGCAAAGGCGTTCCCGGCGAGGGCGGCTGGCTGCAAGGGCGCTTGGCGGCCTCTGCCAGGCCTCCCACGCCCGGCCTCCCTGACTGCGTGGCCCTCGGCTCTCCCTTTGCCTGTTACTCCTTTGCCTCTTGGGTACCTTCCTCTATTAGTCTCTGTACTCCCAGCGAACAGCCGCAGCCCGCCTTCTTCTTCTGCCCAAAACTGGCTTTAGACCATCAACATCACTTACCGCTTAGTATGCGATGGTCCCCCAAGAGCCGAAAGTCGAGCCACCGGCCCCCTTAGACCTCCCGGGATAGCTGGGCTTCAGTTTCTTTTTTCCCCTATGGCGCCCCACCCTGTAGTCGCGGCCAGGCTACAGCCCTTTGCCCTCCCGCTTCCCCTGATCTTTAGTGGAACCTTAGTTTGATAAGGAGGTGTCTGTAACCCATGTCACAACTGCCTGATTTGAAAATGCTTGGTTTTCTGGCTTTCCAACTTAATTTAACCTTTATTTTATCCCGAATCTAAGGAGGTGTTTGTTTTTTTTTCTTGGCAAAGATGGCAACCACAATTGCAGTTTGTAGGATTGTCTCCGCATTATCTATAGCCTGCATTTAATTTACAGATGAAGACTACGTGTATCAATACACCCAGGAAGAGAAGGTAGAACTCTCTAGTGTCAACTGAGCGCTCGTTAGAGTTTTAACAAGGACTCAAGTAAAGAAAGAGACCACGTTTTTTCTAAGGATTTTGTGCTTTTGTTTCTAGAATAATAAGTTTCCCTATCTCCCCTATGGATTTTTCTCCTTAGGCCAGAACAGTGGTTTTCTTCGATCTCTTCTCTTTTTTCCATCATCTTCCTCTTTTTGGTTCACAGTTACTTCTGTGCTTTTGTGTTATCCCCTTTCAGCCTGTTTTTCATTGAGTATTCTTTTTACCTTTGCTTGCCCTCTGGACTTCCCTGCAGAATAGAAAAAAAAAATGAATATAACATTCTTAGTTGAGAAGATGTCATGAAATGGTCCGGGGGACAACAAGAACAATTTCAGGAAACATGCTTTACACTAACCTCCCCAGAGACGTTAGAGAAGTTCCCTCATTTGAGGCCCCAAAAGGAACTGGAACACTAGTTGAACAGTAGCTGGGCTATGTGACCAATTTAAGATTATTTGTATTAAGATTTAAATTGTTTGTTTTAAGGCTGAAAATTAAGATTAAAACAGACAGTACATGAGATTATATTTCATAAGAGAAGTATGGGAATAACTAGCTGGTTAGATTTAAACTTCAGGTGTCTGGAAAAGACAGGTTTTGTTTTTAAGAGAAAAATGAGTCAGTATGGAACTTAATATTCATAATCATGAATTTTACATGGCAACTTAGGCAATGGAAAATAATACTTGCCATTGTAATACTGAATTTTTCTGTGTCCCGAGCACTGCCTTTGATTGTCTTATCACCCTTTATTCCTCTGTGTTTTCTAACAGGAGGAATGGAAAACTGATGTTCCCTATTTTTAATGAAAATAAAACTGAGTCTTTTCCTTTTATTTGTATTTTTAAAACATACAGGTTTTCTGGTAGTATCTTGACAAATATTTTAATATTGATAAGTCAAGCTTTTTCAAACAGTATGCCTTTCTGTGTGGTTATTCTGTGTGCTTGGTGAACAAATTTTTTTCCTTGATTTTCTTAATAGCAAAGCTTAACTTTTTTCAGAACAATTAATTTACACATAAAATTGCAACCAAATTATAAAATTTTGTCATTCATTCATCTATTTTTTGAGGGCTCATTGTGTGTCAGGTACTCATCTAGGTTCTGGGGATACAGCAGCGAACAAAAACAAGAGCTCTGCCTTTTTGTATATAGAAAGCCTAATTGTGGGAGGCAGATAAAAAGAAAATAGGTTAATTGTGTATTATATTAGAGGGTGATAATGTGGAGAAAAAGCGTGGAAGGAGGTTAGGAAATGGATATTTTGGAGATTTCATTAGAGTGCGTAGGGAAAAGTGTAGCATACATGAATACTGCTCTGATCAAGTGTTAGCCGAGAAGTTTTTGTATTTCACTCTGGCTGGTGTGGCTCAGTGGGTTTAGCATCAGCCTGAGAACTAAAGGGTTGTCTGGTTCCCTGTCAGGGCACATGCCAGGGTTGCAGACCATGTCCCCAGTTGGGGGCGTGCAGGATTGATACTTCTCTTACACATGGGTGTTTCTCCCCCCCTTTTTCTCTTCTTCTCTCTCTAAAAATAAAATTAGAAAAAAAGAAGAAAAAAGTTTGCAGATTTCTTCATCTTACCCACACCAGGATATTACTGCTGTTGTAGAGGTTACTTAAGCAGTTAAGAGGAACTGTATTTCTAAAACATGCAAATTGTACAAATGCAACATAAGATTTGATTATTTGAATTCATAAAAATGAAGTAGACTTTAGGATCAGTAACTAAGGGTAGATTTGAATCGCTCCTTGGAGAGTATGTATTTTAAAGTTGAGATTGTAACTGCTTTAGTGTACTCTTTTCAGTGCCTCCCAACCTTTCTTTTCAGGTTGTGGCACAGGGAGAAGATAATTTTTGAATTGCACACTGAGATGGGTGAGGTTGTGGAGGATGAAAGCAACTAGCTAGGCAGCTCTGTGTGAAACGTTGGGGATGAGGATCAGTATTCTGGAACACCTGTAATTCTGGGAAGGCTCTGCTCTGTAATATTGCTAGAGTTGTTCTTTAACATATAGCCCGGTAAGATTGTGGTTTGCAAATTTCCTGTGAGCCCTTTGAAACATTGTTTCCCAGTTTTTTGTTTTTGGAACAAAGTCACAAATCATCAAGAAGATTAAGGTTAGATTATATTTTAAGAAACTATTCTTAGAGACTGGTGGGCTCATGACAGTACTTAAAATTGGTAGGAGTTAGAGTAAAGAAATATATCTATATTTAATTTTGATAATACTAGAAATCTTAAAATATTAAATAAAAGTTCTTTGTAGCAAATTTTTAGATTTAGCATTTTAGGGACTTTTTTTTATACAAACTTTGTATCCCCAAACTTTCAAAAGACCTATGAAAGTGAATTTTTATGTGTTTCTAAATATTCATAAAGTGTAGCAGTATTGGGGTATACTGTTTTCAGCCAAACTATAAAATTTTAATTGTACTGTGTATTTCATTTTCATTTTGTAATTATTTATTTTTTCCTTTCCCAATTTTCTCATTCACAAATATGTATTATTAAATACTTAACTGATACGGCTTCCTAGAGAAAGATTTCTTATATATATTTGTATATATACCCATATTTGTATATATACCCATATTTGTATATATACCCATATATACACACATGTGTGCACATACACACACACATACACATTGCTTTTAGAATATAGCTGTTTCAGACTTATGTTGGATGCTAATTTGACCATCTGAATTTATTAATTTCAGGTGTGAACTCCCCTTATGTTATGTCTAAGATCTTAGAAAATCAGTGCTTATTGTTGATACTTTTCAACTCTAAAAACTGTGATAAAATTGAGAGAAAAGGGCAGTTAAATTACTCTTGCGCATTTTCTGCATACTCTCTCTTACCTAATTGAATCTTAGACTACTGACTGTTGATTTGGCTAGATGGAAGGAGGTTGACATTTAGTAACAAGATTTATGAATGTGCTTATTTTCAGTTGTCTTAGAAATAAATTATTTTGAATTATTTTTTGCTCTTTACTCAAGTAATTGGCTGTAGTGAATGAGAGGTAGAATATGGGCTTACTGACATTTACTATTATTGCAGTCATGTTGCCTTGACAATTGGATTTTTTGTGACTGTTTGTTGATATTATGAAAGGGTAGAAGAGCATTGTCAAAAGTTAGAAAATTGACTGTCTTCTTGGATATGAGGCTTACTGGGCACTGGGAACTTGGGGAATATAGCTAGAATTATATTACAGGGGAACCTCAGTTCCAGAACTTAATTTGTTCTGGAAAACTTTTTGAGAAGTGGATTTGTTTGAAAAGGTAATCTTCTTTGTTGCCTAAGAGATGTGTGGCTGATTTATACAGGTATCAGCATGAAAGGGTTATTGGATCAAGACTCAGGACCTCCTGAAGTTTTATTAGACAACTGAGACATTTTTTCCCTCCATGAAAAACTTGGTCAAGAACTACGATGGAGGTTGGTTTGACTGTATTTGAGAAGTTTGGCTGGAGATTCTGGCTGGGAGTAGCGCTGTCCAGGAGCTGTTCGAACAAGTGCCCAGCGAAAGGGGGAACAGCATACAATAGAATTGTGAAGGTGTTTTCTTTGAATGATACACATCAGTGGATAGTAGAGTCACACATAGGTGAACAAAAGCATAAAGCTAGGATAATCATCTTTGCTTAATGCAGTCATTGTGTTGTGTTTTTGTTTTTGTGGGTTTTTTTGCCATTAATTACTGCTCTATGAGATGCCTTCTATTTTTGTCCCAAAGTGTGTTTTGGGGTCTTTCATTTAACTCTTCCATTTCCTTGGACCACAGCTTCCACGAGAATAGGAAACATGCTTTCTCTTTGTCCCT